TTTCCTTCTGTTGCCTGAGAAAGTTCTGAGCCGTGTGTGCTAACCATATAAAAGGTTTATTTCCTTCTGAGCTGTGCTGTCTTGCCTCCCATCTAATCATTCTTCTCTAGCTTTGGTACAGATGGCTCCTTCTGGCCACCCGGCTGCCCGGAACACCCTTCCCAGGGATGACAGATGATGGCAAGCAGCCTCCCCGGGTCTCCAGATTTACCCTGGGAACTATAGGAAGCCTAGATTTGTAACCTGCACCACGACTCTTTAATTTTTTTCCCTTTGGCCTTCTAGATTATTATCGATTTTCTTCCCTTACTTACTAGCTTCCTTTCAATTCCTATTTGTCTGAGTTGAGTCAGAGTGCTGCCGTGGCTTCTCCTGTTTCATCCTAAAAAGTTGCACCCCAGGCTACCTTCTTGCTGGCCCCTGCACATGCATCCCAGGCTGCCTTGCTTGGGTGATAGCTGTTACCATGAATTCTAAGGAACATACTTTCGTAGCTATTCTGATAAAGTAGGATATAATTCTTGTACTAAGTACTGTGGACTACATTTTTTTTTTTGCTTCCCCTCTCCCAGAACATATGCTGAAGCCTCAGTCCCCAATGTGCTGGTATTTGGAGGTGGGGCCTTTGGGAGGCTTAGGTTTAGACAAGGTTGTGAGGGTAGAGCCCCCATGATGCAATCAGTGCTCTTAGAAAAAGAAGAGATCAGAGTCCCTCTCTCTCTGTCATGTTAGGGCACAGGCTAAGAAGAGAGCTCTCCCCAGAACCCAATCCTGTGGCACCTTGATCTTGGACTTCTAGCCTATGAGAACTAAATTTGTTTCAGCCATCCAGTCTATAGTATTTTTGTTACTGTGGCTTGAGCTGGCGAAGCCACTAATTGAATCAAGTTCTAGCAGGGATTCAAAGTGCCCATTGTGGCCCACAAGGGCATCCCATTAAAGAGAACATCAAGGGTTTCCATGAAGACAAAGAGGAAAACAACATGCTGCAATATGCCGTCTGAGGAATAAAAAGGGAATTTCTTACATGTTAATAGGAGCTTAAAGGGCAACTGCCAGATAAAATACAGGTCTACCAGTTAAGTCTGAATTCCAGGTAAACCATGAATCTGTTTTGTAGTATACGTGTGTTCCATTTGGTGCCTGGTGTTGTTATGTGCTAAATCTAGCCAACTTGGCCTCAGAGCCTTGCTACTCAAATTGCAGTCCCGAGGCCACTAACAACTGCACACTCTGGAAGCTTGTCGGAAATGCAGAATCTCAGGCCCCACCCGGACTTCTTGAATCAGAATCTTCATGTTTAACAAGATGCCCCAAATTTAGCCTGCATATCAATGTTTGAGAAGCATTGTTTTAAAGTTGACAACCTATTTTTATGGACATTACTGCATTGGTTTTTATATTGTCCCAAGAGGCTGGAAAGGAAAGGGGAAGCAGGGACAGGGTCCTCTTGATGACCTGCTATTGTCAGAATAGATATTTAAATGTTGACAGGGTCATGGCCACCTGCCAATTTCCTCCCATCAAAGGGCACAGTCTCCTCCCTGTGCTCTACCTCCTGTTTTCAGACTAGTTTAGCTATTAAAGCAGAGTGAGATCTCCCAGGGATGGGTGAAGGTGGGGGCGGGGTACAAAGGTGGGTCCATATACTAGGGGAGCCAGTGCTCACACACCCTTGACCATTATCTCAACACAGCAAGTTTCACCCTGTGGTGCCATTAGCAGCCGAATGTATGTGTCCCCTGTTCTCTCTATTTGAAGTCGTTAATTTCAACAGATGCCATTCACTTAATAATAGCTATTTGGAAAAATAAAATAATCGCTGAGGTAAATGGACATATCCACCAGAGGAGTAATTTTGATTTCAGAAATGTCAAATGTGAAATAGGTATGTTTCTGAATCAGGGAAGCATGGTAAAGAGCTATGGAGTAGCATTCAGAAAATACTAGTAATCAGGAGAAATATAGGTGATGGAAGACAGGCCTGACCAAATACCTAGATCGATAAAAGGGCTGCAGGAGTGGATGTGATGGACGAATGTGGCTGAAGGAGTCAATAAAACATAAAGAGAGGGAATATGTCTGGGTTATCAGTGGTCTCTTCCTATAGGCTCGAGTGTAGCAACTCCAGACTGTGACAATCTCTATTAATGCTAATAAGCATTGCTGTTCCATTTCCATTAACACCTGTCAATGGATTTTTTAAAAAAAGTTCTGGTTATTTTATTTCAGATAGATGATAAGAATAACCTTTCTTTCTTCTTTTTTAAACAAGCATTTTTAAATGTCATCTGAAAATCTATACTTCAAAAGTAGGAAAAAATAGGTCATTATCTGCTTTAAAATAGATTTTTCAACTTATAAAATTTCAGTTAAATTTCTTTAAATGAAAAAGTCTCAAGATCAATTCATATTTGAATCAGAAAAACCTTCAATTAAATTTAATTCAACAAGTCTTTATTGGTTATCTACTTATTATGCTATTAAGTATAAGGTTATAATATTCCAGTAGAAGAATTTTTCAAAAAGGAACTAAAAGAAACAACGAAATTATAATATTTCAATGGGAATATAACTCGAGTCACAAATATTTGACAGCCTCATCTTTTTAATAATATACTGGGTTACATTCTGGCATATTCTTGCAAATGATTTTATTGCATTAAGTTTGATGAGTTCCCTCACCTGCATAAAGTCCTTCAATGGCTTCCCATGGTCCTCAGGATAAAATTAAAATCTGGTCCCTGAGTACTGTTCCAGGTGCTGTTCCAGTACCACCTATGTGGTCCTTTCCTAAACCTACAGTCCCACAGTATGGTACTTGAAGTTCCAAAATCCACTGTGGCTTTTCATATGTTGACAGACAACATTGCCATGTTATAGCATTTAATCCATAGAGTTGTGCATGATATCTGGACAGAGGGAGTGCTTAAAGATATTGCTGATTGAATGATTAACTTAATGAATCAATGTAGATTCACTAAATCTTTTTTTTTAAAATGTTTTTATTGATTTTAGAGAGAGAGATAGGGGAAATGAGAGGGATAGATAGAAACATCGATGACATCGGCTATCTCTTGCACACCCCCCATGGGATTTAGCTCACAACTCAGGCATTTGCCCTGACTGGGAATCAAACTTGCAACCTCCTGGTGCATGGGATGATGCTCAACCAACTGAGCCATCCTGGCCAGGGCAGATTCACTAAATCTTTTTCAGAGCTAAGAATCTGTTTCATTTGTTCTCCTAACCTGGGGAGGGCTGTGTTTTAGAGGCAGGATATAAAAGTGAAAAGAATACTGGGCTAGGATTTGGGAGATTTCAGCTGTCACCCTTGTTTGTTGGGTAACCTTGGACTAATCATTTACCCTGTCTGTGCTCCTGATGTACATAATGAGGAACTTGGCTGAACCATCCCAGTCACCTCTAGCTCTAACTTCAATGATCTTTACCTTCCCCATTCATTTTCTTGATGGCGTGTAGTCCCCTCCCCAGTCCACACCTGCAGCCACTTTTTATTTGGTATTTTCAAAGTTGTATATGCACCAAAATCCAGCAACCTGTGTAACCATTCATGGGAATGTGGTTCAAAACACAGCCTTCATTTTAGCCAAGACTGAAAGGTAAACACAGATGGGAAACAGCAGCTCAGAAAATCAGCCACTTTATCCATTAGGCCATCTGGCCATCCTTCACAGTGTCTTTCTGTTCAGTTACCAGGAAAGAACCTTAGAGGCTGGTAGCTCACAGCTGCATCTGCTAGCCAATGGTCTCTGTCCTAAAAGGCCAGACACTGGTAAACTACTAGGCATTTTTGAAGAGCATGTTGTTGATATCATGAATATCTTCCTGTACCTCATGATCTAAAATTTGCACATTGATATTTTGGAGCTACTTGAAATATAATATAGCTTTTCCCATAGCTGTCTAGTCCTCTCTTTGCGAAGCTTTCCCCAGCAAGCTGATAATATGACTGCCAATAGATGCTAAAACCACAACTCCACAGTGTAAGCAAAACACCTAATGAGCATCTCACTGAATGCCTGCTTACCTTCTGCAGTTTCTCCTGAAGTTAACATCCATGTATCTTCTTGCTGTTTTTTGATCACAGCTGCTTCATATGCCCCAAACTGCCCAATAAGGCTCCAGAACAGACACCCCTCTTAGCTTCTCCACCTGCTGGTCAATCCCCAAAGATTCCTGGAGGCCAATGTACCAGCTGCTCTACCCACCTGCATCCCCATCGGGGAGGGTTTGGGCAGACCTCTCTCTTGGTGTCCTGCCCTGCTTGCCAACTCCCAGCCAGCCAGTTCCCCCGTCCAACTTCTCCACCCCATGACGACTCGGGCCAAGCCCATTCCTGGGCTGAACCAAGAAATTGAGAGATTTCATATCAAGCGGCGATAGCACTGGGTAGCAGAGCAGCAGGGTGACAACAGAGCCATCTCTCATCAGGAGGCTCCAGTGGGACTTTCCTGGCAGGGGACCTATGAGAGTGCCCTCCTGGTTGTCACTCCATTATTTTGTTTTCCCCCTTCTCCTTTCAATGAGCGCTTCAAAACACTTTTTGTCTTCAAGGGTGAAAAAAATTACAGTTGAATTTTCACTTCCTGTTTAACTTGTGATGGAAAAACACAGCAAGCCGTGCAAATTTAACTATGGATAAAAATAGCTCCGCTGTCTTAAAGTCATTAAGTGAACATAAAAGGCTCTTTGGGATCTCAGGATATCCGTAACCTGGCATCTGTCACCATGCCTCCATCCTCATCCAGAGGCAAGGCGTTCAGAACGAGGATTCCATGCTTAATGGCACCTTGAGAGTAAGTGCTCCCAGGTGCCCATCAAACCTGTCACTCTGAACAGCTGTCGCTAAGTGACGACTTGTCCCCTCCACCCTCCATTGCTTTCTGCATAAACAGGTCTGCGGAGCTGTGCCAGGAGTGCCTTCCGGAGCTGGATGCGCAGAGCCCCGTCCACAAGAACAGCGAGTCGCCCCTCACCTGGCTTTGCTGTGCCCGTTCCAGCATTCCTCTTCGTTGGACGTGCCCGCTGTCACGCTCTCATCCTTGCAGATGGTGTAGGGCAATGCCGACCAGACCTTTTTAGAGAGCTTCAGTTTCTCTTTTATGTCTGTGACCTGATCAAGAAAGCAAGGGAAGACAGTGACCATTCTCCCCAGGTGCGGTCCATCTCTACACAAGGACACCACGCAGGGGGGTGAGGATGTGTGCTAGAACCAGTAGGAACACTTGGTTTTAAGAGGGAGACAGGATTTGTTGTCCAGGAAAGCCTCCCTCCCTCCTCCCTCAATCTTCCTCCAGCTTCTGGCAGAGAGCTCTCAAGTAGTCCGCTTTTTGTTTTCCATCTTTTCTGTCCCCCCTATCCTCTGAGTTAAGAACTTATGAAGCATCTCAACTGGCTCCGGGTCCCTGTCCAAATGAGAGAAGTAGGTGTGCCTCATTGCAAACACCCCAAATGCATTCTTTAGAATTCATTTGCCTGGATGTCACATAAATGCACCAAGAGATAAAACATCTTTCCCAATGGCCTACTTGTTCCTGCAAGAAATACATATTGTCACTAATTCAGCTGCTGGTAACCTCTGCTCCTGACTAATTGACAGGCCCATATAGCACACTTGGCGAGCAGCAACCCAAACCCATTTAAAAATCTCTATTGCCAAAGAGAAAAAAGTCGTTCCAAACACAGGCAGGTGTACCACCCACAGCCCTGTGGATGGGTGGCCCGGAGAGCTGAGTCACACCATGTTTAGTGTTGTCAGGCTCCACGCTGACTGTGCTCCTGGGGAAAGGGTAGGAGAGAAGTTCAGTCCCATTTCAGTTCCATAATGAACATCTAGGATCATGCAGACACAACCTTGATTTCCTGCTCTACTTACATGAACATTGGGAAAGTGTTTAAACATTTGAAATGCATCTGCAATAGGTTGAATTATGTCCCCCACGTTTATATGCTAACGTCCCAACCCCCAGTTACTCAGAATGTGATCTTATTTGGAGAGATGGTCTGTATAGAAGCAAAGAAGTTTAAAATGAGGTCATTTGGGTGCTCCAATCCAATGGGACTGGTGTTCTTACAAAAAGGGCAAATCTGGACACAGATATGCACAAAGGGAAGACAATGTGAGGGGGCATAGGAAGAAGGCCTCCATCTACAAGCCAAGGGAAAGGCCTGGGAAAGACCCCTTCCTCAGAAGGAACCAATCCCACCGACACCTTGATTTTGAACTTCTAACTTCCAGAACTGTGAGACAAAAACTGTCTGTGGGTTTAAGCCATCCAGTCTGTGGTACTTTGTTATGACATTCCTAGCAAATCTATATATGACCTCAGAAGGGAGAACCACTGAGACTTAATGGTGTTGTTGTACATTTGAGATCAATAGTCTTTGGACACAAAGTATTCTGTGTTTACCGTGGATGGAGTATAGACTTGAGAAAAAAATTTCCAAAGATCTTTTGTCAGGTTTAAGAGTGAACACAAAGACATCAAAGACTCTGACAATTGATTTTGGCTCCTGTCATGTTTCTTAGTAGTTCTGGAATGATAGTCCTTGGCCCCTGCTTAACTGTGGTTCTGATGACGACAGGGGCTTCAGTCCTGGGACTCATCTGTTCACCCATGAAGTGCTAAAGATGACGGGAATGCTGAATCAGAGAAATGGTACCTCTGCAGTGGTTCTCAACCTGTGGGTCGCGACCCCCTTGGGGGTCGAATGACCCTTTCACAGGGGTCGCCTAAGACCATCGGAAAACACATATATAATTACATATTGTTTTTGTGATTAATCACTATGCTTTAATTATATTCAATTTGTAACAATGAAAATACATCCTGCATATCAGATATTTCATAACAGTAGCAAAATTACAGTTATGAAGTAGCAACGAAAATAATTTTATGGTTGGGGGTCACCACAACATGAGGAACTGTATTAAAGGGTCGAGGCATTAGGAAGGTTGAGAACCACTGGAAGTGTGATGCTACTTTTGCTTTAGAGTGTGAAGAACAATCCATGAGTAATGACATTCCAAGAAGTAACTTACACATCAGAAGTGTTTAGGAGGTCCTGAAACCTGCACTCCGAGCCTTCCCCCACTCCCCCCTTTCGTTCCTGTGACCTTGGCCCACAGACTATCCCTGGCTTGCCTTCCAGGCGGTCTGACTGGGTGAGAAAGTTTGCAATAAGAGCCTGTCCTTTTCTGCTCACCTCTCTAGGCACAGATGTGTGTGTATGTTGTTATTCATTTTTATTTCTTTTTGTTTTAAAGGTGTCATTCCTGGATAGATGGCACATAGATGGATGTACATTCTGTTTCTCAATTACAAAAAAATCCAACCCCCCATATACCAACTGATAAATGTTGAAAGGAAGCTAGTTAGAAAAATCACCATTCCGCACCCACCATAGCAATACCTGATCTCAGCAAATATCATCAATGAATTGTGTCGCCTGCAAAAGGTGCTGGAGTCGAAACCACCAGTACCTGCGACTGTGACCTTATTATGAAATAAGGTTGTCAGAGATGATGTGGTAAAAGGGGGTCTTGAGGGTGGGCCCTAACCCAATATGAATTTGTCCTTGTAAAAGGGAAAATTTGGATACAAAGACTGAGACGCACAGAAGACCATATAAAGATGAAGGCAGAGCTGGGGTGATGCATCTACGAGTCAAGGAACTCAGAGGATTTCCAGCAAAGCACCAGACGCTGGGGAGAGGCCTGGGGCAGACTCCCCCTCCCAGCCTCAGAGGAAACCAGCCCTGCTGACACTGGGCTCCCAGACCTCCAACCCTCAGACTGTGAGACATTCAATTTCTGTTGTTGTAAGCCACTCAGTTGGTGATACTTTGCTGCAGGAGCCCTAGCAAATTAGGACAAATACGAAAAATGTTGAGTAAAAAGTCTGATGGAGAGCAGGATATTTACACAACCCCAAAGTTCACCCCCCCCCCAGATTATGTATTATTACAGAGGGAAAACTGGCCAATTTACAGGGCAAGAAATTGGCAGGTCCCAAAGTGATCAAAGTATCAGGACAAATTGATGTCGTGCACCTCCTGATGCAATGTGACAAGAAGGGCACATCATTTCTGCAGCCAAAATTCATAACCTGAATCCAATTAGGAGGACACATGAGACAGACACAAAGCTAGGGACTTTTTGCAAAACAACTGGCCTGTACTCCTCAAAACGCCAGTCATAAAAGACAAAGAAAGGCTGAGAGGTTTTTCCAGATTAAGAAGAATAAGAGATATGGCGCCTAAGTGTAGTACCCGGCTCTGGGTTGGGTGCTAAATTAGGAAATAATATCCATAAAGGACATTATTGAATAGTTTGAAAAATTTGAATAATACATCCATATCAATGGAATATTGTATTAGTGTTAAATTTCCTGAATATGAAATTGTACTATGGTGATATAGAAGAATATCGTCTTCATAGGAGATACATGCTAAAGTATTTAGAATGAAAGAGTTATCATTTCCACAACTTACTCTAGAATGCCTTAATAATAATAATAAAAATAATAATAATGGTAATGATCATCTAATAATCAATACATAGATGCATGGAGAAAGAGAGAAAGCAAATGTGGCAAATTTTAAATGAATAGTGAACCTAAATGGAGCTATATAAATTTTTGAAATGCATTTTTTGGTAAGTTTGAATTTTTTTCAAATTAAGTATTTCAGAAATAACATCTCTCAGAGTTGATCTGTTCAGCTTTGGTGTCTTTTACCTCCAATCTGGGCTCCCCCCTCCAGGCCACTCATTCTCAGTGTTCCCAAACACAAGCCCCAGAGAAAGAGTCAGGATTTGTCTATTCATAACTCATTCAGCAAACTATCCCCAGCCTCAGGACTGAAATATGTAAGGCTTGTTCTGTTCCATTATAAAGGATAGCAGGAGTTAGAGAGCAACCAAAGGACTGGTATGCATGCACATTAGCATAACCAATGGACACAGACACTGGGGCGGGGGGGGCTTCCCCGGGGTGGGAATGGCGGGGGGTGGGGGGTCAATTGGGGGAAAAGGAGACATATGTAAAACTTTAGACAATAATTTAAAAAAAAGGATAGCAGGAATAAGCATTCCTTTTCTGATTATTTTATAATGAAGTTACCACCTTTATGCTGTGAGAATCTGAACCATATATGTATTTTTTGGCACAGAGAAAGAATATAATTGCATTATGTTCCACAGGTATCTCCTCCTTTAATATTTTCAAAAGTTAACTGTGTGTGTTATGCTGCTCATTCTTTAACTAAACTTCAGCATTGTTTCTTTCAAGATGTGCTCTGTCCCCAAGTTAGATTCAGATTCAACAGTGTGTTCCCCAGTGCCCTGTTCACGATTCCAAGTACTGATCACCCCACACTTATAACTGTCTAACTTTTCTTATTTGCTCTTTGATCACATGCTTCTTGATGCAAAGACAAGGTTCTAATTTGTCTCAGTGCTGAGGATGGGTCAGGCGACCAATCACCTCAGTTTGCCCGGGACATAGGGGATTGTAGGACTCTGAATTTTCAGTGCTAAAATTAGAAAGCCCTGGGCAAACCAGGGCAAGTTGGTCACACAGGTTTCTGCACACAGTAGGTGCTTAATAAATGTCAATTGAGAAAATGGATTTAATTGTCCCACTCTATTACCAGGTCACAGACAATATTGCTTAGACAAAATGGTTGGGGTCACACAATGTGCGCTCTTGTCTCCAAGGGGCTGAGAGGAGCCGTGCAGCTAAGTGAGGATGTGGATCCTCTCTGATGAGTCCCCACAGCACAGGTTATGAGCAGCTGTGTGCACCCCGGCATGTTCATTGTGCAAGTGAAGGAGATAACAGCAAAGGAGCAGAGAGAGATGCAAATGCTGTTTTCACATTCTGCACAGAAACATCGGCCAATTCTTTCCGACTGGAATGGTGGTGCAGACACCTGGGAAAAACGGACACTGTTCGCCCCAGGAGAGGAACATGCCTTTGATTCTAAAGAACATCTGAACGACTGCAGTTTCCTTTTCGGTTTCAAGAAAGTTTTTTCAAGTCTCACAGTGTTTAGAAATACTTTCTATTGTTTTTATTTCTGAACAATATGTGGGACTACTTTGCTGTAGCT